TGACCTGCTTTGATGTTCACAGGTTCCTCTTCCCAGAAGTCTGAAAAATGTTCTGGGTTTCAGAAAATGGTCGTAAGCTTCAGCTTTTATATAGTAATTGCGCCAGGTCATGAAGGACAGCAGCATCATTTTTTTCGCTTCTGACTTCAGTGCCACTGGAGTTATCCGGATTTCAAAAAACGTATGACTACACTGACAAACACAGAATTGTTCTGAACAAAAATACGAGGAGAATTTCACAGTAAGGAAGAGCCTGGCCTGTGTAATGCTTGCCAAATATGCTGTCTTTATGCATTGGTCTAATGCAGTGGTCTCCAAAAGTGGGGTGCGCAAGGTGATCGATTGGGGGATGCAGCAGGAGGAGCAAAAAAGGGGAGAGGCTGGGGGGGGCGGCCCTGAGTCCTCCGGCCCGTGTAGGAGCAGGGGCAACTGCACAACTAGCGCCCGGAAAGAAGCGGCACTTTCCCCTTCAAAGCCGGCTGGAGAGAAGCTGCCCCTGCTCCTCCTGAGTCCGGCCCGTGCTCTCAGGGCTGCATTCCGAAAGGGGTTTAAGAGATGCAGGCCAGGGCCTCCCCTGTGTTCCGGGTGGCCCTGCCTGCTATGGGCAGAGGGGGGCAGCTCCCAGAATCTCGGCTCCCAGGATTGTGGCCATGGGGGTGGTGCTGCGCTGCTCGGAGCCACCTGCACACTCCCTGCACCAAACAGGAGCTGCCCCAGGTAAGTGCTCTGCACCTCCTGCCTGCCCCAGCCTCGAGCGCCCTCCCACACCCCAACTCCCTCCCAGACCCCGCACCCCCACCCTGAGCGCCCTCCCGCACCCCAACTCCCTCCCAGACCCCGCACCCCCACCCTGAGCGCCTGCTGTATCACAAAGTGTTAAACCAAGATTTTCAAAAATAATAAAGCATATTCAATCACACTGCTCTCACTAAAAATATTATTATTAATAATAATTTTTTAGTGAGAGTAAAAGTTTTTTTGTACCGTTAATAAATAAAAAAAATTTAAAAATATTGTTTATTTCATTATCTCATCTTTTTAATTTCTATTTTTTGTGTATGTTTTATAATTTACACAATATATTAGTACAGTAGTACATGTATATAATTTATACATAAATAAATATACATATATTGGGGGTGCGTGCTCAAAAAATTTTTACTGATAGGGGTGTGCAATCAAAAAAGTTTGGAGACCACTGGTCTAATGCACTGAAAATAGCTCAGAATGCTTCTCCACTGCAGAGTGGCTTTTCATATTTTCATCTGTACAGTAGTTACTATGAAATGTAAAAATAATTTTCTATCAGTGTATTCATAAGCTTCACAAGAGCTTGATTATCTCTAAACATCAATTTAACAAGGCAACACCATACCAATTGATAGGACGATCTGTAGAACAACAGTTTATGCTCTGTATAGTATGACACTGGTCTGACCTCTATTTCTTGCAAGCAGAAATCATGGCTCTTCCACCTTCCCACCAGCTAGAATCCAGTGAACTTTCAAAATGCCTTGGACAGAGCTCTACACAAGAACAGCTATATTGACAAATCCCTTCTAGTGTAAACAAAGCTTAAGGTTTTGAGTGGTGAGGTTTATTCTGAGGCAACAATAACTGTCACTAAATGACATTTCTGTGTTTGTTTTACAGAAAAATGATACATTCAGTGTTTTAACTATGGTTTAGAAATGGCCATTTTCCATTTTTTAAAAATCCCCACTGTTTTCCACCATGTGACAAGAGAAGGTGTGACACTCCTTCCCAAGACCTCCCCCACTTTGGGCACAATATGCTGCTCTTGCTTTCCACACAGGTGATCACTATGCAAATGATACCATTGTGGCCTTTGTATGCAAAAGTAGGGCTAGGAGGCACAACTAATTTATAAAGTGCTCTGAGACCCTTGGGTAAAAGGCACACACACACACGTGCAAGTTAGAGTTATTGGTATTATAATGCTCTATTTTTGCAGTGCACCTTCAAGGCATCTGAACCTGACCTATCTTTTGTTAGACCACCTCTCACCTGAGATAGCCAATTGCAGATCGGGTTCTATGGTTCCCCCCGCCCTTTATTCCAGGAGCATACATTAATTCATTATTATGCCATATTTATGCATGAAAAGACATGGTACATGCTCCAAAAAGCTTACAGTCAAAATCAAATAGACAAATACAGTATACAAGTGTAACAGGGTTGGACATCCCCTGTGCGCCCCCTCGTGGCCAGGGGTGTCTGTGCAGTGCCCTGCTAATAATTTCTCTCTCAAAGGGCTCCTTACAGACTCCACATGCTCTTCCTGAGCTCAGAATACCCATCTTTGGGGTCTGGGGTTTAATCACAGAAAATAACTCAAAATAAAACTCCAAGTCCCAAATTAAAGTCTCACAAACAAATATTTCTCTTCCTAATCCCAAGATCCTCTGCCTGGAGAGCTTCTGCACTCTTTCCCTTGCCTGCTCAGGGTCCCTCCTGCATTAGCAGGTTACTCCCAACCTTTCCTGGCTGTAGTGTTAGACCCAGATCCCAGGACTCTGCTGGAGCCTACTCACTCCTAGCAGTCTCTGTTCTTCTGGAGCAATACCCACACCTACAGCTTCTAGCTGCTCTTTATAGGAGAATCACCTGATCCCTCTCAAGTGGGGCTCATCTGGTACTCTGGGCTGGATTAGCCCCAGGCTCTTCAGCCCAAGGACCCTGTTACAACAGGATATTACCCTCTCTCTCTATGGAGCTATTCTGAAGCCCAGCAGGAGGACTGAAGCCAGTCTACAATGCAAGTATTCAAGAGAGCTTACACTCTCAGCATACAGGTTTCAGAATAGCAGCCACATTAGTCTGTATCCGCAAAAAGAAAAGGAGGACTTGTGGTACCTTAGAGACTAACAAATTTATTTGAGCATAAGCTTTTGTGAGCTACAGCTCACTTCATCGGATGCATTCAGTGGAAAATACAGTGGGGAGATTTATATACACAAAGAACATGAAACAATGGGTGTTACCATACACACTGTAAGGAGAGTGATCAGGTAAGGTGACCTTTACCATCGGGGGAGGGGGAAAACCTTTTGTAGTGATAATCAAGGTGGGCCATTTCCAGCGTTGACAAGAACGTGTGAGGAACGTGGGAGGTGGAAGGGGGAATAAACACGGGGAAATAGTTTTACTTTGTGTAATGACCCATCCACTCCCAGTCTTTATTCAAGCCTAAATTAATTGTATCCCGTTTGAAAATTAATTCCAATTCAACAGTCTCTCGTAGGAGTCTGTTTCTGAAGTTTTTTTGTTGAAGAATTGCCACTTTTAGGTCTGTAATCAGTATACTTCACTGTCTCTCCCAGCCCATCCCCTGTTCCAGCCTCTGTTCACACCTTCCCTGGCCAGCAGCCAGCACTTAGCAACTTTAGAGGGACCCTCAAAATTCTACCATAAATCTCAGCATACCAGGACTGTGTGTGTGTGTTGGGATGGAGGAAATTGTAACATACTTCACTATCCAACATAAAAGGTCTGATACTCAGGGGAATTATGGTCACATTTTGTGGGCCTTTTACCAGCTAATGGTCAGGCTGTTGAAGAGAATGGACTGAAAGTGCCAGATGGCTAGAGGACTACACACAATCGTAAACACTGCACATGGAGCACTGAAGTGGAGAACCAGGCCCAAGGTGTAATATAGTGGAAGTTAAGCTTTCAGAAAGGAGGTAATGGATGAGCTAGACAAATGAGAAAGACATGACTGATCCGCTGCGCTGTTTTCTTAACGTGTGATGACTCTCCTTGTGTCTGTGCTCTCCAGCTGCCTGCAGGTGCCCCAGCCTAAGGTATAGCCTGCAACTGCCCAGGCATCAGTTAATGCCAAAGGTACCCTCTCCCAGTATTCTAGTTTGGCGGGGCGGGGGGTTAAGTTCATTTCCACTCAGTCCTTCCTTTCAGGAACACTTTGGCTGTTAGTTGTCACTAGTGAAAGATTACCTCTGTGCCTATGTAAAAATAGCTCCCATCATTTTTGCTTTCTAGAGTAATTTCCTGTATGTGTTTCATTTCTTGCTTAATAAAGACACAACATCACTTTTCACCATCTTGCTTATTTACAGGTGGTTTCTGTTTCCTTGGGTACTCTGCAGCAATTCTCTTTGGCTGATGTGACATCTACTAATTGCTAGGACTGCCAAACTTTTTCCACTATTTTATGTCATCCCTAGGTGCCCGGTAATAAACAAAAGTGGTAGAGCAGCCTCAGCAGTTGGCATGAAAAGTGTTGACAAGAGAACAAAAGCAAAGTGAAACCTCAAAGCTATCATCTACTAAAGACTGTGTAGGAGAGCAAGCCGGAAGAACTATGTCCAGCATGGGTACACTTTCAGAGCAGCACTAATCAGTGTAAAATAGCTGTAAAGGATTATGGGATTTGAATTACCGGTAAAAACAATGGAAGGTTTTTGGTTGTAGTAAGGTGGAAGGACTGGTGAGAGCATGGACAAATCCTGGAGTTTTGTTTTGGACTGGTGGGATGGTGGCTGTTGGGTGTATATAAAAGATAAAGTATTGAAAATAATTCAGGAGAGAGATTATATTTAAACTTATCACCATAAGACACCCTAGGGACAAAAAGAAAGACTGAGCTGATTCCTGACTTCTGTCAGTACTAAAGGAATGGTTTGAATTGTACATTATCGGTTTTCCAAAGAAGAAATATACGGTAGTTATAATTTCCTGAGAGCATACAGGAAAACCTAACAGACTAAAACAATGTAAACCTGTTTCTTTTCATCCTTAGTGTATTTGTATGCACCCCAGCTAATTAGATACTGGGGGATGATGGTTGCTTGTAAATATCTTAGATTATATTAACATTTAGATTGGTTCAGTAGATATCAGTGTTCATTATGGATCCAACCCTGAGAGGTTCTGATCACCCTCCACTCCCATTAAAATAGATCATAATCTTGTAGGATCAGGTCCATGATCTGTGAAATCAAAGGAAACAGACATACCTGAACAAACCTCTTCATAGGTGGGATTTGGGGTACACCCTCCTGCATAACCCACTTGAGTGGAGTAGACTCCTTTCTGTATCCAAAACTTTCTCTCTGCTCCCCAGAAACATCCCATACCTGTATAATGTGTAAAGTATACAACAAGATGTCAAGATCTAATCAATATTAAATCAATCACTTGCACATTAATTAAGACTCTCTGTACTGGAAACGACTGATGCAACTGGCACATGACAGTCAAATGTCCACCAAGATTAGCTATGGATTTAAGATTCTGTACAAATCCATTCCCCTTCATGAAGCAAGCACAGACAAAACGTCTGATTCGTCTGAATATCAGCATATTATAGATAGCAAAATTTAGAATAACCTATATGATTTTCAAAGGCACACATTTTAATGACATGAATCCCCACCCACCTAAAAAAACCCATTGCTTAAATGGCAATTGTACATATTTCTGTAGCCGCATTTTCCTTTAGTTGATTAGCAAGCTGTCAAAACACATTAATTTGTATTAATGGCAAACATTTATTTAATGTTCTGCTTCCTGGCACATGCAATCTTTAAAGGTGGAAGAGTAATAATTAACTAAATTATAGATCATAGAGGAGAAAAAAACTCTCAGGCTTAGTTAATTTATGCATGCAAATATCTGATGTGCATGCAAAAATCAGGTATTCGTTCACCCACATGGCCAGTTATCAAAAGAGACCAGATTGTCGGCTGATTTAAAATGGGCAAAATTCCACTGAGTTCAATGGAGCCTCATCAATGTATACCACCTGAAGAGGTTATTGAGTGAGGACCTGATTTGCACATGCACATCAATTTTTGTACTCATAATTTCAAACTGATGCATGCAATTCTACATGCCTTATTTTAAAAATATGGCCCTAAACTAATGTTATTTTCCATGGAAAGCTGCTCCCATACGTTTATTAAATCCCTCCTAGGCCATTCTGAATTATGTTCATTATTTCCATGACCTATTGGGCCAGATTCTCTGCTAGTATAATCTGCGTAGTTCAATTGACTTCAATGGAGCTGCGCCAATTTGCCCCACATGCAGATCTGGCCACTTGTGCCTGTCATTGGAATGGGGTGCCTTAACTGATTGCTAATGACTGGGAACCAACATGACTAATAGTCAGGATTCTCTGAACATTTTATCTAGTTAAGAAGAATGAATTACTTATTGTTTGTGAAGCGCTCCAAAAATGAAAAGTGTCATGTAAATGCTATTATTATCTAACTAATCTATGATTACAGATGGCAATGTATTTCTTGTGTGAACTTTTGAATAGTTTTTTTTAATCTCTTCTCCTACTAAAACGCTGGAAATAAAGGGTTGTGTAACATACAATAAATTCCAATTACAGTCGGAAAACAGTGAACAGTTGTAGGTTTTGCAATGATAATACTTTTGAGATTTCAGGTTAAAAATATTACCTAAAGTTTCCATTAAAGCACAGCTAAAAGAACAAAACAGGGCCTTCCATAAAATACAAATTGTTCACAAAGGCATATCCTTCCTTTGAAACTTCAGAAATCAACTTCAAACTCAAGTAACTCATTCTGATCAACGCTTATCTTTGTTTTCAGTTGTAATGCACTAAATATACAGGCGCAATGTCACTGCCATTTTAGAATACCTGTTGTCAATTACAACCAGCCTGTTGTCCAGCGTTAATGCTACCATTATATAGTCAGCTGAGCCTGGAACTGGGAGTCTACTGGTGTGGGTTTTACACTCAGCTCTGCCTGTGATTTGCTGGCTTTTGGCAGGTGACAGGTAAATTTTCAGCACACACAAAGCATGTGTGGACACACTTGTGCCAGTACCTTGCAGGTGCAAAAATCTACACACATGTGTGCAAATTCTAACACCTGAGCACACACTTTAATAGTCCAAAACCTGCATATGCGAGTGCCAGAAGCAGCAACCACAAAATCCACAGGGACCACTCAAACACAGAGTGCATGCAAGTGCTAGACTATTTAAGAAGCGTACACAAGCGTTAGCGAAGTTCAGACGCAAATACGTGTGTATACAATTTTGTGTATGCAAAACGGAAACTGGCCTTTAAAAAAATCCAGGACTTCAGCATCCAGAATTGTCAATCTTCTAGGTGGCGTCTACTGACTTTCTTGAAGCAGTGGGCATTTACCGGGGTGTCTATGTAGTGTCCCTCTCTGGATCTCTTGATTTGACCCTGTGGCCTGCACCGCCATCCCCAGCTTTTTCATTCTTGTTCCCCATAATCAGTTGATCTCTGAGCTCAGTGGCGTCCTCCCACATTTAAGGAGGTGGGCCTTTTGTTGTTCTAGTGCAGGGATTCTCACAGCAAAATGTTTGGTGGCCACAGACTGTGGCTACCAACTCTTGCTGGTGGCCACTCTGACAAATTTTCCTAAAATACTTAATTAACATTAGGAAAAACAATTGTAATTTATTGATGTGGGTTTTTTTTCTTTTGCAGACTCAATAATAACAATAATGTACAATTGAATTTTGGTGCCCCTGGACCTCGCTGCCTACCGCAGCCCCCCACCCATCGCCTCTGGCCCCTGCTGCCCCCTCCATCCATCTCCTCTAGTCCCCGCTGCCTACCCTGGCCTGTCACTGCCCTCCTGGGCTCCCCATCACCCCCTGAGCCCCACTGCTTCCCCTACATTGCCCCAAGCTCCATTCCGCAGCCTCACACCCCAGGCTTATGCCACTCCTTGCCTCTTGACCACAGCACTCAGTAAGGCTGGCCTTCTTGAAGCCCTGCTGCCATGGGCTGAAGCCCAGAGCGGAAGCCCCACGGCTGGAGCAGGTGTGGGGAGGCTGAAGTCCGGAGCCGCACCACCTCAGGGGACTGAAGACCAGAGCCTGCTGTCAGAGCCCCAAGGCTGAAGTGGGGGGTGCTGAAGCCAGTCCCCGGAGTCCCATGGTTGAAGCCAAGGTGGGGGGCGGGGGGGTAGGCTGAAGCCTGCCGCCAGAGCGTCTGGCTGAAAATGGGGGATCACTCCCTCCCCATCTCTACCCAGGAGACTATTGAGGCTGCAGGAAAAACTCCTGGTGGCCACATGCGGCCACAGTGGCCACAGTTGAGAAATGATGTAGTGAACTCTGTGCACTATCCCATTTATCAAATAGGCCAGCACCTTCACAAGCAGTAAATCCTCACACCCGTGAAATCAAATAGCAAAGCCGTGTTAAATTATTTTATAGCCTATCAATACATTCAATAGCTGATATCTCTCTGCTAAAGTGTCGGCATGTTCAGGGGCGGGGGGGAAGAACTGTCATAAAGTGACATTCTACTAATAGAAGAGACATCAGCACATGCCTGAATTGCAACATATCAAACAATGGGGATTGTGGAAATAAACAGATCTCTGCAGGGCAGTGACTTTCTCTTACTAGGTAAACTCTGAGCAGTTACTAGCGCAATGTACTCCTGATCTTAGGGCTTGTCTACGTGGCGCGCTGAAGCACTGTAGATTTATACTCCTGTTTGCCATGCACTAAATCATTGTTTATACATGTCCTGAGTGAAGGAATGTTGATGCTATTATATTAAAATTAATTGCTATTTATAATTAATTAGTCAACTGTAGATGTTTTTAATCATTTGATATCATTTTGAGGAACAGCAATAAGGAAAATTGGGAGAGAGGGAGGGAAGCACCTATAATGTAAGTTTGATTGTAGAACCACTAATCTGATTTCAGCCCATCCACACAGTAACTTATTGATCCCCACACTTGATCAGTTGGGCTGCAGCATTAGAGATGGGCAGACAGCGAAGATGCGTCTGGAGTAAAAATATTGGAGAAAATATTCTACTACCCTAGAAAAGCATAGTTTGAACATTGCTGGATTTGCAGCAGAGCACGTAAGCATTAAAGATATTTGTCACTTTGTAATCACCAATTTGTAAAACATAAACAATTGTTTTAGCGATACGCTTGAATTTCGAAAGACACTTTGAAACTATACGCTTTTGAACTTCACAATCAATCTGATTGAAACTTGAACCTTTTAAGGCTAGTCTACCCCTAGAAATAACATTAATCACACAGTCTGGGAATGAATGCTAATGCTTAAATTCCTTTTTCGGATTCTGTTGCCATTTTCTCAAGCTGTACGCTCAAGGTTTACATCATTTGAACAACTTCTTAATTAACTCATAACCTTGTATTCAACTGAAGAGCATGTGTTTCTATGAGCAACAGGAGTCATTGGCAAGACTGTACAAAAAATTAGGGAACTCTAGTTATTTAAGAAAAACACCTTAAAGCAAGCAGTTACTCCATTAAAATGGATGAGAATCTACTAGTGTAAAAACAGAACAATGATACCTTAATTCCTCTTACCTATAATAGCTATTGAAATATTACATGTAGATTAACCAAAGATATAAACTGAACCATAGGTGTTTTATGCTGCCGCACCCCCTGGCTTGAAGTGGTTTCCATCATATATAGGGTTAACAGTTTGTTTCAATGGCTCTCAGCACCCCCACTTTACAAATTGTTCCAGCCCCCTGAACTGAAAACTACAGCTTTGCAAAGAATTGATTTCTCAGTTCTCAAGTCAAACTAAAAATTGGGGAGGAAAAAAGTTTTGTATGGACCCAAAACAAAAATTCTGTTTTCACAGAAAGCAAAGAACTGTGAAAAAATTAATTTGGGGCATTTTAACTGCTTTTTTATTAAAAGCAAAGGACATTCGGAAATGCCATTTACAAAGCCACTGGAGGAGGATCTTCCCCCACTTTATAGGCCTGTGGTTAGAGTACTCGCCTGGGATGTGGGAGATGTCGGTTCAAGTCCCCAATTTGGAGCAGAGAGTTGAAGTCGCATCTCCCTCTTTACGGGTAAGTGCCCTAACTACTGGGCTATTGGGTATTCTGGTATGGCGGCTCTCTCAGGGCTTTACCGGGATCAATTTAGTGGGTCTTCAATAGACCTGATGGCAGAGCGCTCTCTGATTGACCCCGGTACTCCAGCTTTACGATAAGAGTAAGGGAAGTCGATCGGAGAGTGTCTCCTGTCGACTCAGCACCATGAAAACACCAGGGTAAGTCGACCTAAGCTATGTGGACTCCAGCTATGTTATTTAC